CCCCAAAACCCCAAAACCCCAAAACCCCAAAACCCCAAAACCCCAAAACCCCTTATAAAGAAGTAAATTTGGATTCTATAATTAATAAATTATGAAATACACAATCCTATTGGCATTGTTTGTCCTCGTGGCATGCTCTCTCAGAGTTGAACTTGAGAGGAATGATCTTGCTGAGAACAGAAAATCTGACCTCATTGCTGCTGTTGCTAACGGAAACATGACTCTTGTCTCCGATGAGCAAATTAACAGAGCTATCAGAGGAGATTATACTCCTTTGAAGATGAACATCGACAACCACGACCAATTGAAGAACCCATCAATTGACTTGGAAAACTATCAAGATCTCCAATACTCAGGACCATTGACTGTCGGAGAACAAAATGAAGTCTTCGATGTTGTTTATGATACCGGATCAGGATGGATCTGGGTAAACGGAAAGGGATGTGATGGATGCTCAGACTCTAAGCATCAATTCGACCCATCTACCTCTAGCACTTTCAAATCTACTGGTGAGGAGAAGACTTTGAGTTACGGAAAGGGACAAGTTTCAGGAGTTATTGCCACCGATTATCTCGGTCTTCCAGGAACTAAGGGATCCAGAACTAAGTTCATCCCAGCCACCTCAGGAAAGGATAACCAAGGTATGCAATCTGCAGGAATTGTCGGACTTACCCCAGTTGCAACTAGCGGAGAAGATCTCCTTGTCGATGCTATGGCTGAGAGCGGAGTCATTGATTCCAGAGAATTCACCACCTTCATCGCTCATACAGACCAAACATCATACATTGAATTCGGAACTAACCAAGCTTCTGACAGCGAAATTACTTGGGTTGACCTCAAGAAATTGCCAAGAACAGATGGACTCATCTACTGGAGTACCGATTTCGATGCCTTCCATGTTGGATCTCACAAGCTTGACTTGACTTACACTAGTACTATTTGGGACACTGGAACCTCATTGATCGGATTCAACCCACAAGACTTAGCCCAAGTTATCAAAACTCTCGCTAATGGAAAACAGATCTACAACGTTCAGGACCAATTCTACGCTGTCGAGTGCTCAGGTGCCTCCGAAGTCTCCGGTCTTGACTTCGATTTCAACGGAAGAACCATCAGCGTGCCATCTACCGAATTCGTTATCGAAGATTCTGGATACTGCATCTTCTTGCTCATGCAAGTTCCACTCCCAGGAGCTCTCCTCGGAGACAGCTTCTTGAGAGGCCTTGAGATCATCCACGACCAGGAAGGACTCAGACTCGGTGTTGTTAACTAAGCTTGCTTATGAAGAGGGAGCTCTTCCTAATTATTGATACTTAAAGAGGTCCCTGATCCATATTCGTTGTTGGTCAATTTTTGATTGAGTAATCTCTTCTGTTCTGAAGAGGGGAAGGTTGGGTTAGAAATTTGGAGAATTTAGCCAAAATTGGAGATAATTGGAGGTTCAGTCCTGTTCAGAAGAGAGCAGGGGTGGTCCAGAGGGAGGGAAACAAGGGCTGCAGAGGGTAGGAAGGGAGCTAAGGGGATTCTAGGCGGCTTTGAGGGGAAGTGAAAGGTTTTTTTTTGGGTTTTGTGGAGTTGGGATTTTACAGGCTGTTTGAGGTATTTATCCCCCATTGAATAAAAACATAAAGTTTTGGTTATCATTTTACCTGTTTGTAATGGGGTTTTGGGGTTTTGGGGTTTTGGGGTTTTGGGG